GTTCTCAATAAACATCTAGCAAAGAGAACTTTCCCTGGAAAGCATAACTGGCCAGGTCAGTCTCCCTGTCTCTTCCTTGATTTGATTTAGCCCTCTCAGTTGCCTTAATGGAAATATCCAGCTTTATACATATTTACTTCACATAAATATGTCATGTTCATAAATTATATACTGGATCCAAAGTACTATTATTCATTACAACAATGATTATTTGGAAAAAAACCCCTTCTCCTTGCAGGATTTCAACTCATGAGATTAAAAAGTGTGCACTTCACATTCCTCCCTCACACCTCTTATTTGCAGAAAATTGGAGAAATAACAGAAGGAATAAAAATAGCCACTTTTATCAGGCATATCTCCAAGTTTTTTGAATATTAACTTGTTTTGTTGGCATGGCTGGATTATAGGTCAGCAGAACCATCCCCAAATTCCTAATAAGGAAACACTTTTTTTTTTTTTTTAAATTTGTAGTGTTCTGCCAGAGTTAATCAGAAAAGGAGTAAAAATTTGTGGCTCTTCTCAATTTTGAACCCTGCCTTGACCCAAGAATGCCACGATTTAGGGCATGCTCATTTTAAGTTAAGCACTAGGCTAAATACCCATGTCTCATGGATTGCCGCCTCAACAACCTGTCAGGTAAGTTGTATTATTATATTTCTGAATGAGGAGATTTAAGCTCAGACAGATGAAGACACTTTCTAAGGCTATAGATCTAGTGCTTAGTTAAGTAGAAATTTCAACTAAGGCCAAGAAATGGTCACCATTATTCCTGAGGTAGGTCGACATCTGAACTTAAACCAAACAGTCCCACAGGCTATGAGTAACACAGAACAAAGTGAACTCAGTAACACTTCACTATCAGAATGTTATCGTTGATAAGCAAACTCTAGCCTGTGGGCCATAGAGGAGGCAACATGTTCACACACCTGTCTTTGGCCTCTTTCCTGAGGCAATAGGAGAGGTGAGTATAGTAGTTGTAAAAGGGACTCTATGGCCCACAAAGCCTAAAATATATTTACTACCTGGCTCTTAAGAAGAATTTGTCAGTATCTGGTGGTTTTGTTCTTTGCCCTTGGAAAGCTGTGAATTTCTCTGGCACAGTAGTTCAGAAAAGAACTGAGAGAAAGGTGCTTCCTACGGAGTGGGAGAAAAATGTAGGCTGTAAGTGTTTATCAATGGCCAGTGGGTCACTGAAGCAGTTCGAGAGTGCAATTCAGAGACCCTGAAGCGCTTGCAAAAGAAAATATGCTTGTCTCCATCTTTCTAGGTATTGTGAGGATAGGGCTTAATCTAATCGAATTATGTTACCATGGTATTATTTAGTCCACACAAATCTAAGGTTCTGGGCTATTACTAGGCCCTATTGGAGGAGGAAAGGACACAGAACAGTTTCTTGTTACAAAATTAAAGAAAAAAATACCTTCCAGCTGCAATTATGGGTGTGTTTATACTGGACCTCACTTAGGTTAGAAAACAAGAGTTCTAAAAAAAAGGTGTGGCAGCTTATGCTCCCTTGGCTTTTAGACCAGATGTGAGTTCAAACCCTGGCTCCTCTGAACAGCTACTTCAGCACAGACTACAACTTATCCTCTCCAAGCCTCTCATGAGCCACAAGTGCTTGGTTCTTTCTGTCTTGTGTGTGTAAGATTCTTGCCAACAGGAGAATAAAGCTGTGAGGGGATGCGGCATTTGTATCTCCTAAAAATACATCACACAGTGGGATCGTTTATGTGAGAGGAAGCCTCAGCTGGAAGGCTGGAGCTTGGCCAGCATTTGTGTTTTCTCTAACACAAAGGTCTGTCTTAGGATATTCTGTAAAGACTTTTGAGAATATTGCCAAGCAAAACCATCCCATAATTAGAGGCCTCAGCCAGGCCATATGTCCTAGGAATGCTTGATGGGCTTATCATGTGGAACTGAGGAGGAACAGAAGCAGAACCTCTGCTGAGGACATTGCTGTGTCTGGAACCATCACAACTGTTTCTTAATCCAGCCAGCCCTTGGGTGTGGCCACAGTGGCTACTTTAGTTTTTCTTTATCCTTTAATGCTCAGCTCAGACCTATAGTAGAAAGATCTTTGAAGGCCTAAGTGAGTCTTGGTCACTCCCTGCACTTACAGAGGGCTCTGTGTCTAACATTACATTAGATTGAAATATGTTCCCATGCCTGACTCCATGTAGACTTCCAGCTCTTCTATGGACAACCCCCCTCCATATCTTAGAACACAGCCAGAATAAGAATCTGAAAACCTTACACAGTGTTTACCACATGCTAGACACTGTCTTATGCATGTTTCGCTGATTATTTTATTCTCATGCCGTATCCTGGAGACAAATACTATTATCCTAAATTTTATAATGAAGAAGCTAAGGCACAGAGTAGTTAAATAACTTGCCTCAACTCATATAGCCATAAAATGGCAAAGCTTGGTGCCTAGCCAGAATGTCTAACTCCAGACCCCCAAGTCAACCCCTGACCCTATCCTGATGCACATGTTACCAGCAAATGTTCACTCATCTGATCTGAATATTATTCTCACAGATGAATCCACATATACATCTGGACTTGAAGGACAGAGAATAATTTTAAAGTCTCAGATTCTTAATAGGCTTCTCAGGACTTACATAAAAGGCAAATCTCTCAAAAAAAAAAAAAAAAAAGAGAGAGAGAGAAGAAGAAGAAATCAATAGCTTTAATTTATACATGACACAAAATTCCATTTGACCACCAAAGCCCCCTGCAGAACCAAAGTCCCTTTAAGTATAAACATGGAATGGTTCTGTTTTAGTAATCAACTGTTCACTTCCTATGTACTTCCACCTAAAAGAACAGAAGCTTCTGGATGCAAAGTCAATGTACTTTTTGTTCTTCTTTTCTTAAATTGCTGGTGTCAGTCGTACGGATTCTGAGCACTAACTTACTGTCCTTAAAATAAACTACTGCCGGTGAAAGCCATCCCCAAAGCTGTTCTGCTTAAGCAATAAACATCACCAGAAGACACAACCACAGTTCATTTCTTTACCCAGGCACAGGCTTAACACAGGGCAGAACCGTTGCAGTTTCTCATGAAAGCACTGACTATTGAAAGTGAAAGAAACAAAACTAAGCAACAGACACCAGAAGGAAGTTTTATTACTGAGCTTCAATAGCCCTGTGTTTTCAGAATGACTGGGAAGGAATCTACTGTGTTCTGCAAGAACTGGGTTGAATGTGGAGGGTTATGACAGAGGCTGAGCAGACTCTGCAGTCATTCTGTCATTCTGTGGCCTTAGCACGCGTGAGGCCCTGGGTTTGATGCCCAGCACAGCAAAAAGCAAAAGAATACAAAAAGAACTTTACATTGCAACAATTCCCTCAAGTGCCCACTGAAATAATGATGACAATGATATAGGAATAATAAAATAATCATACATGCATGCCAAACTAATTATTTAAAAAACTTAAGTTGCCATGTAGTAAAATCAGATGCATTATTTAAAAATAGTAGAGGAGTATAGTCAACTTTAGTTCTATTTATTCATTTCTTGTTCCCTTCTCATATCATTTGGACTTCCTGCTGGAAACGTTCCTCTTGCTTGGCTTTGTGAAGTCCTTGTGGAACCCCAAGGAGCTCTGCCTGCCCTAATTTCACCATCGAAGTCAAAAGAAGCTTCTTTGGCCAGGTCCGTCATCTTAGCACACTGGCAGGCACTGCAGAACTAAGGTCAAGCTCAATCAAGAGGACTTTTTTCCCTAGGATTCTGATGTGAAGCTAGAATAAGTTTACCTTCATTCCCATTACTGAAAGGACACAGCAAGGACTGTCTGGGTCCCTGTTTCCTGTTTGTGACAGGTCAGGTTCTTGACATTCCTCTTAATTCTGTGTGTTTTCCTATGTTCTTCCAAAAGTCTCTCCTTTTCTTGAGTGATCTCAGCTCTTTTGGTCATTTGTTTTCCACCAAAAAAGTGCCAGGTACCAGCTGAATGAACAGGGAACTGAGGGAACCATGCTGATTACATTGGCCAACTGGGTTATATAAGTGAGGACAGAAGGAGAAGAAAACAGAGGTTGAAGGTCCCTGGGAGACAGGTAAATACTGTGTGGCAGGTGTGACAGTAGTAAGAGAGCCAGATACTGGTCACCAGGGCTGTGGCACAAGTGAGACAGACTAGGCCCCAGAGACACAGCATGATGAGTGAGTGACAGTCCCAAAGAATGTTATATTTCCTGACAGGTTCAGGGCTGTGGATTGACATTGGTATATTCTGAAACAGCTTCCATGCCACAGAAAACACTATCTGGAGATGAAAGAGTCTTTCACTTCCTTGTTCAAAATCAATGCTCAAAATAAAACAATTAGATTACAGATCACAAGGCATTTAGAACATTCTAAAGAAGTACACATATAGCCATCTCTCTTGCTGCGTGCTCACCTTTTCCAATAACTTGACTGAACGAGAAAACTAGGCTTACCAGTTTCATTTTGTTTACAGCTGATTTTACAGCTCAACTCATCATTAGGACTCTTTCCATTTGAATTCACAGACTCAAAAAACCTTCCATGAGCTTTGCTTTCATAAATTCACTTAGAATGAGCTCATGTTGAATTTTATATAATATAATTTTTTAAAAAACCCTAAAGTTAAAACTTAAAATAAAATACATCTTCCATTAAAACTTTACTAAAAGTGTCAGGTGCAGTGGAGCATGCTTGTAATCCCAGCGGCTGGGGAGGCTGAGGCAGGAGGATCACAAGTTCAAAGCCAGCCTAAGGCACTATGCAAGTCAGTGAGACTCTGTCTCTAAATAAAATACAAAATAGGGCTGGGGATGTGACTCAGTGGTCGAGTGTCCCTGAGTTCAATCCCCAGTACAAAAAAAATAAAATAAAATTTTTTTTTTTACTAAATTTTCTAGATAAATCAACACCACCAACACCCATGCTATCTCATTTGCCGGTGCAAATTTGTAAGTGAACAAATAAATGGGAAAAAGTACACATTTACCTGTCTAATCATACCTGAATAAGGACTCTCTTGACAGCCAAATTTCATTCTGTTTCACAGTTTTCCAAGAGAACAGCAACAGCAGCAACACTGTGGACACAATCAGGGTGGTGGCCCCACATCGATTTAGCCAAGTGCAGAGCTTGCTCAACCCATGCACAAAAAGGATGCAGTAGCCCATGCTGGAAAACAGGGTGGAAGGAAACAGGGTTACTTTGGGGGATGCAGCAGATTCCCCCTGAGCATTCTATCCCATGTAACTAGCTTTCAACTAAAGCTCATTCTGTGCCAGAGAAAATACAAAGTCCCTTGTCTTGAACAACATTTTCCTGTTAGTTTTCTAAAGCTAACGCTTTGGTTTTAGTGTGGTACAAGTTCATGTTGTAGGCTCATGAAGAACAAGTTATATTGATGGGATTTTCTTGCTGATTCTGATCCAGATTTCCCAACAGGCACAAAGAATTCACATGTTATTTGAATGGGACTTTGGCACAATATTGTATCTCCAAAAGTCTTTTGCCTTGTAGAACATGGTCTCTCACACTAACAATGCACCCAGGGACTTTTCCAGCCTGCTAGTTAGACTCAGAACATAAACTTAGTTTGTACCCATTATTGCTGTGTGCATTTTAGTTGAAATGTGCTTCTTTTCAAAGATGATGACTAGTGGCTATTACAGAACATCTTAAGTCATAAAGAAGAATAAAATTATGGTATCTTCCAGTAAATGGATTGAACGGGAGACTGTCATGCTAAGTGAAATAAACCAGTCTCCAAAAGTCAAAGGACAAAACTCTTTTCTAATATGAGAAAGCTAATCTCAAATAAGGGGGCAGGGGTATAAAAAATAAATAAATAGAGAGAAAGAAAGGGGGAAAAAAACAGGAGAGGAAATTTCATAAAAAATAGAGAAAATGCCAGGCACGGTGGCACATGCCTATAATTCCAATGGCTTCAGAGGCTGAGGCCCTAAGTAACTCAGCGAGACCTTGTCTCTAAATAAAATATTAAAAAAAGGACTGGGGATGCAGCTCAGTGGTTAAATGCCCCTGGGTTCAATCCCCAGTATCGAAACAAAACAACAAAAAATAGTCATAAATAAATAAACAAAAAAAGATCAGTGGAGTAGATGTAAGGGATTGAGGGGGAGGTGGGAAGAAAGAGGGATAGGAAAAGAGAAGAACAGTGGAATGGATCTGACTGAACTTTGATACATACATACATGACTATACCACAGTGAGTCCCAACATCAAGTATAACCACAAAACACTAATTAAAAAAATAAACTATAATGAAATTGCAGAAAGTTCAGTAGAGTAGCCAGCCAGTGACTCAGAAGGTTAAGGCAGGAGGATCTCAAGTTCAATACCAGCTTCAGCAACTTAGTGAGGTCCTCAGGAACTTAGGAAGACCCTGTCTCAAAATAAAAAATAAAAAATAAAAAGAGCTGGGGTGTGGCTCAGGGGTTAAACACCCCTGAGTTCAACCCCCGGTACCAAAAAACAAAAACAAATCAGTAGTGCTGGGAAATGAATTAAAGTAAATCACATTCATACTTTTGTGATTATATCAAAATTATTCCTAATGTTACATATAGCTAAAAAGGACCAACTTAAAAAGAATAAAACATTTTTTTTTTTTAATTGGCACCGGGAATTGAACTCAGGGGCACTTGGCCACTGAGCACATTCCCATCCCTATTTTGTATCCTTTTTTTTTTTTTTTTAAGAGACAGGGTCTCACTGAGTTGCTTGGCACCTTGCTTTTGCTGAGGCTGGCTTTGAACCCGTGTTCCTCCTGCCTCGGCCTCCTGAGCCATGGGCATTATAAGTGTGCATCATTAATGAAGCAATCTTGCATAAAGAAACCCTACATTAGAAACTAATACCACCAGAAGCCCCAAATAAATATAGTCCATATATTTGTTCAATTATTTTTTCATTTTATGTGACTTCCAATATTCTAGGCACTAAAAACACAATGAAGAATAAAACATAAATAACTCTAGTCTGTGAATGTGGTTGGTCTTCTAAAGGGAAACAACAAAATAGTCTATTCATAAACACATATTCTTTGAAAACACATCTCTCTTCCTTCTTTTCTCCTTTCCAAATATGCTTTGGTATCAAAAGTAGAAAAGTGGAGCGGGTACTGAGGTCTCTCACCTGGAGACCTTGAAGTCAAGTTAGAGCTCCATTTCCTCACTTCAAGTCCTGCAGTCAGTTGATCCAGCTCCCTAAAGTTTTAGGGTTCACTCTTTGGCCAACAGGAGTCCCTGAAGATGATGACTTGAGCTAAGGAGGCCCATGTCCACCATCCCCACACAAGCCCTAGACTTGATTGCCGCAAGTATAAAACAACCCCAAAATACAAATCCCCAAAACTTCTTACTGCTTTCACAACTCCTATGTTTAGCCTTAACAGTGGGAAGCTTTTCTACAAATCTTTTGTTGCTGCACAACTGAGCACACTAGTGTTAACTTGCCTGACCACAAATGGTTGCTCAACTTCATAAGGTTGCTGGCCTCCTGTTCCTGCAGTCAGATCCCCCCAAGATAAGCAGGATGCTTCTAGGGCCATATGAAGGTCCTCTGGGCTCCATTTGGTCATTTATCAGATAGTTAACACACAGCTACTAAATGGCAAATAGTATTACAGGCATCAAGGACTATCAGGGAACAAGACTATAATCTTTATCCTTATGGAATGCACATGGGTGGGGAGAAATAGTTAATAAATAGGCAAATAAATATAGAACATGCACAAAATTATATGTTACATGGATAAAAAATTAAGCAGGGAAGAGCTTGAGATTTTAATATAGGTGGTCAAAGAAAGCCTCACAGACTTTAGAGCAAAAGAACTGAAACTCAAAAGTGTGCCACACAGATACCTGCATCTCCAACATCAGCTCTCTTCCCATTTTTGCTTATGTTAGGCGACATGGCTAAGAGCCAACATTTATAGAATCAATCTTTTTTTTTTTCTTTTTTTGGTACTGAGGACCTCTGAGCCACGTCCCCAGCCCTTTCATTTTTTATATTGAGACAGGGTCTTGCTGAGTTTCTGAGGGCCTCGCTAAGTTGCTGAGGCTGGCTTTGAACTTGCCATCCTCCTGCCTCCACCTCCTGAGACACTGGGATGGAATCAATCTTTACATATACCAAGTATTTTTTCTTTTCTTTTTTTAAAGAGAGAGAGAGAGAGAGAGAGAGAGAGAGAGAGAGAGAGAGAGAGAATTTTTTAATATTTATTTTTTAGTTTTTGGCGTACACAACATCTTTGTTTGTATGTGGTGCTGAGGATTGAACCCGGGCCGCACGCGTGCCAGGCGAGTGCGCTACCGCTTGAGCCACATCCCCAGCCCCCAAGTATTTTCTATATTTAATTTCAGTACCCCTTCACAACTCTATTGATCACATTATTAACCTGAGAACCCTGTGAAGAAGAGAAAGGTTAACTTGCTACATTTGGTCATGTATCTAGTAAATGGCAGAGCAAAAATACAAACCCAGATTTCAGATTCCAGGGCCACACCCTATCTGCTGTCCTACAACAGGGATTGTGACTTGACAACCTGATTCCTGTATTCCTCAAAGCTTATCAGAGACTATTTTCCTCCTACCCACTCCATTCAGGGCATCGTCGTTGACTGCTTTCTTGTGGGAATTGGAGCTGCCATCTAAAGAAACAGGAGGGAAGGAGGTGGTTGGAATTCCAACAATCCACAGTAATGGCCACAAAGTGGCAGAAAACGACAGATACAATTAGCTATTTTATATGTTCACATGTTTACTGAGCACGTTCTACATGCCAAACACCATGCTCAGTACTTTTATGGGACTTTTTACAAATCTGTAGGGCCTGGGGCAAGACCAGTGCTTTACAGATATGACCTCAATTAAACATTTTATCCCCAGTATCCTCCATTTCATACTTGAGGAAACTAAAGTTTAGAAGAGTTAAAAACTCACCCACAGCTCCAAGTGCTAGTGATGAACCAGACCTGACCACTTAAACATTATGCTGTTATCTAGAGGTTGGTAAACTCATTTTGGAAAGGGCCAGGTTGTAAGTATTTCAGGCTTTTTAGGAGTTGGACCTCACAAAACAATATCCCAGAGTTTGGGGTTCTCACAGGCTGAACTAAAAGAAGCAGCTTCAAGATCTGTCTAATCTTTCCATCTCCCTGTTTCTCAATCCTCTTTCCTGAAACGCAGGGAAGGCCTTTCTCTGAAGTTCCCTTATCTATATAAAGACTGACCCAACAAAGAGGAACATGAGTGCCTTTCATCCTCTTACAAAAATGTCATTAATGGAGGAAGATGAAACCCATAGCACAGAGGGAGAGACTGAAGATCGAATAGTACATGTAGAGCCCAGAGAGCTTTGTCCCAGGCCACTGCCAGTCCTTAGGCCCACTCAGCTCCCCGAACAATCACTGAATGCCCTCTACAACTGCTACCTGCCCCACTTCTCTCTCTCCTATGATGAGAAAATCTAAGCTTCAGCCATCTGTCCTTCTCTGAGCTTCGGATCACATGTGGCTCCTACATACATGTACACATCAATAAATTCATATGCCTTTTCTCCTGTTAACCTATTGTCAGTTCATTTCAGCAGACTTCCATATTCAGACCTGCAGAGGGGAAGCTCCTTTCACTCTCATGCAGGCCGTGAAACTTTTGTCATTTATGATCTACTTTGTAGTGGGAAAGCAGCCATCACACCACAAAAACGAATGATGTTTCAATAAATCACTTATAGAAACAGACAGTCGGTCAGTTTGACTCATGGGCCATTCAGTTGGTTGACCCTGCTTGACCAAATGAAGGTGAGCCCATTCCTCTCCATTTGGCATGGGCATCTGTATCAAGTAACATGGTCTTTTTTCCCAAAAGTCCTTGCATTGACACATGGTTTAAAGAAATGTTAAACCATAGAAAATAATTTCTATTTAGCTTTGTAAATTTCTTAGAGAGTATCACATTCTTAAAAACCTGACACAAATATCACAGAAATCAAGATGCTTCTCTATTATGAGGATCCATCTTTCAACATCTGCTCTAATGCAGTTCTTAGCAGCAGGGGAGAAAAACACTCTCTATATGACTAGGGGCAGGACAAGGCTTCATGTTGAAGTGGAAAATCAAGCAAAAGAGAAACTGCATGCTTTTATGGC